TATAAACCCTTTTACAACTGGCCTGCTGCGACTTCCGCCTCAAAAACCCGGCAACGCTGCTTCGAACCGCCGGTCGTGGAAACAAGTACGAAGAACCCTTCGGACCTTCGAGTACCTCCGTCCGCCTGACGAGAGAGTACCTGCCTGCGCGCTTTTAGCCTTCCCCCGGAATGCCAAATCTTTCCATCATCCATAACAGCTTCCACTGGACATGCTAGAAATGCTGTCAGGCAAGCCACCATGGTCTTCTGAACGGCATATTCCTTTACCTCACCGAACAGCTCTTCAGCCCCAAGCCCCCGAGAACCTTCAAGGCCGGAATCTGTGAAAGCGAACAAACTCGAAAGCATTGAAGACCCACTGCACCGGCATAGGGACTCAAGAGGTATGACATGACCTGGCTGAAAGCCGAAAGTCTAAAGAACACAGCCTCCGGCCGTCAGGTCACAAACCTCGAAGTCTAGGGTTAAGGTTGGCATGGCGACCATCATACAAGGTGTTCTACCTCTCGCACCGAAACCCCCGGATACGATACAGTCCATGTCCATTCGTGTTCCCCAGGCCTTCAACAAGTTTTCTGAACGAAGCACCCGGAAATCCCTGAAAAGTCCGAGCCTTGATCTGTTGCGTCGACTCCCGGCGACGGAAGGCGCAGGAGACCAGGTCCTCTTGCGGGGAGCTCAGCGAGGGAAAACAATCCCGGAAGAGAGGAGCCTCTGGACCTTCGGGCTTTCAGGTCTCAGGAGTCTCAGGCCTTATAAGGAGGTATCTGCATGTATATGTATGTACACACACACATATATATATACACATTTATGTTTGTATTTATATTTTTTCTACTTATTTATTTAGACATAGAGAGAAAGAGAGAGAGAGAGAAAGAGAAAGAGAAAGAGAAAGAGAAAGAGAAAGAGAGAGAGACAGAGCGAGAGCGAGCGAGAGGGGGAGGGAGGGAGGGCGGGAGAGAGTGAGGGAGGGAGACAGGTTCAGGCTTGACCTGGAAACGGGGTCTCAAAGGACTGGGGTCTACAGTAGCTGTCAGTCTGGTTCGATGCCTTTGTGGTGATCGGTTCTGAGGCGGGCCTCAATGGGTAGGATTTGTCTTCAGGCACCGGCCAGAAGGTCTTTCATATTAATATGGATATGATGTCAGATCTGTTGTGCATGCCAAATAACATAATATAATGTAATATAACATAATATAATATAGTATAGTGCAGCAAAAAAATCGAAACCCTGCAACACATGTTGCGAAAGCCCAAGGCTCCAAGACCAGTCCCACGCGTTGCATATACGACACTCAAAATATATTATATTATATTATCTATATCTTATTATATATTGTATACATTTGTATACTATATATTACTTCTAAGAGAAGTCGAGGCACGTCCACTTCGACGGCCATGTCTGCTTCGTCGTTTGGAGCCTGCGGAGTCATGGAGGTGCGCCGTCGACAATGCTCTCGTCTTGTCAAGGCTTTGGGTTTGGCATTCGCATGGCTGTGCGTCAAAGCAACCATCAATAACACAGATCGAAGCGTCAACAAGAACACCGGACTGCAAGAACGAAATGTCGAACGCAGGAATGCTTGTCGCCACATTGAAACCAAAGCCAGCCGTTCGATAAGATCCTAGCCATCACAGAGACCCAGTTGTGTGAGAAGACTTTGCAGAACATGAGGACCGAAATTCTGGAGAAAAGCATGTGCCCAGCCAGCTAACTTCCCAGACAATTACAATACTGGACGTGCGGTGGTGGTAAAGCCAGGCCTCTTTCTTCCAACCATGTGGCCGCATTGCATCCGACTCAACGTCCTCAGCAGCAGGCAGTTGCGCAAAGCAGTCTTGCTTTCTTGCTCTGGAACGGGTGTCATGTCACATGAAGTCCTGGTCTGTCGCCTGAATTGCTGGGTTCTCGCAGGTGCTGAGAAGGATAGGGATGAACCAGGTCTAGCAGGCTTGAAGTCGGCTTTGCTTGCAAAGCAGCAGACCCGGATCACAATTCAGGAGTCCTCGTCATAGACAGAGAACTCAGGGTTGAGGGCCAAGGAACTAGACGCTAAGGTCCACACCTTCGGTTAATTTCTTATCATATCTTGGCAAATCCTGCATACACCCAGCACGATCCGGCGTAAAGTTACCATCGATCCTTGTTGGTAGTCCTGTACCAATCTGTACCCATACAGCACTGGAGCAGAAGATGCAAACAACACACAAGTCAAGACACGGCAAGCAACAAAAGAACAACCAAACAAACAAACAAATGTGCACATTTGTAGACCCTTAGTAAGCCTTAGTACCGTAGGAACAGTATGAAGCCAGAGAAAGAAGCCCAAGCCCTCTTGCAAAATAATTCAGGTACACCCCGACTATCCCCAGATCTTTGCATCCCGGAGACATACGTGCTGTCCATGAGATGGCTGAGGTGAGTCCGAAGCAGCCTCCCGCAAGTATATTTTTTATATTATTCGACAGTAGTCTAACATATGCTATACTGGTATATACATGTTATGTCCTACTATATACCATTGAGTACCGTAGGATGTGGTCTCACTTCTAGTTTGAGTGCCAGTCTAGAGATGCCTTTGGGACATGTGTTGGGGTCCACATGTCCAAACAATAAGGGTCTTTTTGCTACCTAGCTAGGACGAGCCCGCATTCCAGGGTTTAGCAAGGAGAGCTACAGGAGAAAGCGACATCGCATCATGTGGCATACGTCGCCAGAAAAGTGACTGTACTCGCGCAGTATAAAAAAGGATTCGGGTTTAGGGTGTACTTATATAGGAACTATTTTAATAAGGCCAAAGTAAATCCTACTGGCTTCTCAGCAAGCCGGTCGTGAGAAATCCGAGTGTCTGGTCGAAGACCCAGAGCACCGAAAAGTCGAAGCACCGGTCGGTCGCAGTATAGGGTCCTAAATAATTGCCAGTACTGCTTTGGGCTCTGATTGTAATTATGGTTGGGCCTAATTAGTTACCATGCAAAACTTTTTGGGGAAGTTCTTTCTCTCTCTCTCTCTGCTGTTGAATCCAGATTATTTTAAGCCCGCTCTGTATTTTAAGGGGGGGGGTCTTTGCTAGTTGTAGTATAATATACCTCACAAACCTATTCGAATTACTAAGGCTCCTATATGGCCCATGCCTCTGGGCCACTGCCTCCATAACACATCAAGACCTTCAGCTCTAAACCTTGAGCCCGCATCCCCTGAGCCCCAAACTTCCCCTGTAGAGGTTATTACTTAGGCCCTAGGCTCAGCTAAGGCATTGTACTCTGACTCTAATTGTGGAAGGGAGCCCCCGAACAGTATAGGTAATCATTTACAAACCTCATGATCCTGTTTGTGAAATCCTCAAACTCCCCACCACCCCAAAGCTGGGCCTTGCATTGATGCCCGGCATGCCCTTGACCAGCTGAACGTGTTTCGCCGCATCCTTCTTTCTTAGACTCTCCCAACACGCTTTGCATGACTGCCCTGCAAACGGATCCTTCGGGCGAGTAGCTCTTGCAACTGAGCGTCTGTTGTCAAGTGGATTTTGCTCTAAACTCCCGGGGCCCTAATTTCAAAGTACAACCCTTTCGATAGTGCACGTACAGTCGAGTTGCATCTCCGCTGCCCGCTAATAATACCTCATGATAACTCTGTTGAGAGGAACTTCCCGGTGGTGCCGTTCTTGGGCCTCTAAAGCAAGCGATGCATAGGAATTTCAGCTTGCTCTGCAACAACCAATACTCACCACAAAACTTAGCCAGGAACCTTTGTCGACTGGACTTTGCCAAGGTCCGCCCAGATGTCACAGCCCCACACCCGCATCTGGATTTGGCGGGGTTCAGTTCCAGAGTTCAAGGTAGATCCTAGTTCTCGAGACTGTCGCACGGAGTCAAACCGCCCTTTTCCTCGCTTCCACTGCAAGTCGGCTGGCCGGGCTTGCACAACTCAAACAAGTGGGTGAACAAGCCCCTCCTGCTTATGGATCGACTTGCCACCATTGGATGTCCGGACTGCAATCACTCCAGTACAACACAAAGTTTCTCAAGTAAGAACCCACTGACATCAGTATACGAGACATCCTCAGTGCCTTCTATCTGCAGGTACATGAGCAAGCAACAACTGTACGTCCCTACACAAATAAAACCTACAAAAGCCGCAATCGAATAACTGAGATCACTCAGCCCTTTCGCTCATGTGTATCTGCTAGTCCGAAGTCTGTACATCATCAAAGCCTGGGACTACATCATGTGCAGCGTCTTGCAGCTTTCGTTCCACTGGTTCCCTGGACAGCATCGTTCCACCAGTATTGGTCTCTTCCAAACGAGCAGGTGGTGTGGGTGGATTTAAGGTTTAGGGCTTAGGGCTAAGGGTTTAGCTGTTGCTTAACGGTTTAGGGTTGCGGGTAGGGGTTTGTGGAGTCTTGGGGTTTGGTGGTCTCAGGGTTCAGTGAGGTCTCAACAGCTGGATTTTCATTGGCTCTGCTTTTTCAGCCGTCGGTCTCGGGCTGTGATTGAGGAGGAGGGCAGCTTGTGCTCAGGGATTGGGGACCCTAAACCCTTTTGCAACTGGCCTGCTGCGACTCTGCCAGGAGGAATACTTGGCCAGAATCACTTAGTGAGTAAGCGACTCGTGCGCTCAGGCCAAGCATCCGGAATGATTTCACATGTAAGTATGATTTGCCGAAGTTTAAAGAGCTCTAACGCCACGGCATGCAAGACGCATGCATGCATGTCATACTGAGTATGCGTGAGACCCACCTGGATGCTGAAGAAATCATGTTCCATGCGTAAATGTAGAATGCATGCCATAACTGAGGTCGAGTGCACTTGCAGACCCAAGCTCCACTGCTGAAACCCCTGAACCCCTGAACCTTAAACCACAGCCGTCCTCCCTGTAAACTTGCGAATTTCAGGCCGACGTTGAAGTCACTCTACGAGCGAAACTGGCCAGCGCGAACGAATTCGTGCATCTGTGAAAAAGCCATGCGCAAGAACCTGACCGTGGCTCCGCTACTTCACGGGATCATCCAGACCATGCTGTCTTTTCGGCACACTCTTCCACATAGGTTTTTCTGTGGAAGGACAAGGAAGAAGCCAAATGTGCTCTTTGATTCCGGGAAGCTCCCCACCAACCCAGAGGAGGCACTTGGACTGTGACTCAAGCCGAATACTGGTCCAGCTATCCGTTTTTGCATCCCAGCTCTGCCACTCGCTGCCATCACATTCTGTCAAGTAAAGTTCAGAGACTTCTTTGTGTTTAATGGCTGTTAGGCAGAGCTGGTTCATGTGGAACACGATCTCGCCCTTCTTCGTGTACTCCCAAAGCTGAGTGGGCCGGTCGTCACAGAGTAAACCGTTCACCATACCTTTCACTGGCACTGGCACAGCTGACCCAGTCAAGCAAATTGGATTTCCATCGAATTCTGTCATCCAAAGCATGAGGTCACTTGGTAGCCCGGTTGTCGTCGCGGTAGTAGTGGCCGTAGTGCCGGCACTGGTAATTGTCGTGGCGCTGGTGCTTGTCGGGCGCAACGTTGTCGTCGCGGTAGTAGTGGCAGTAGAGCCGGCACTGGTAACGGTCGTGTTGCATGGGTTGGGTGCCTCGAAGTCATAGCACGTTGCATCCGGCTTGCTGCCACATTTCAACAGCTTGCCGTCATGACAATAGAAAACTTCCACTTTGTGCAGCGGAAACCAATCCACATACACACATTCATAGTCCTTGGCATACTTGAGAAGCCCAAACCAACATCCTCCTTCGCAACCTTTCTTTGCACAGCTAGTCACAGCCTCTGCCTCTGTGCCGTTGATTGTAACCCCTGGCTTCTGCCATGTCTGGAGCAACTGTGCAACCTCACAAGATTCCTCGGTTGCCCCTTGTGCAAACCAGAGCGCTACGATGTAGAGGAGAAGCATGGCGGGGAAGTAGCTGGGTTGTGAGGGCGACAGAAAGCCGGCTTTGGGCCAAATCTTGAGCCCAATTTTCAGCTTTACTGTTTGGGGGTTCGGTCGCGCTGTGCCTGCTGCCCTGCGATGGGGTTTTACACTTCCAGATTGAGGGTTTACGCGGTCTCTCGGTTCGCAGTCTCACTACAGGTTTCCACTACAGGTAGGGTTCAGGTCTTCAACACAAGAAACAACAGGGTATCAACAACCCACCAACTAGAAATCAGTACAAAGAATCTCAAATTCAGGGCTTACACTCTCACACCTCGGACTGTTTAGGGTTTAGGACTTAGGGCTCAGATGCCAGGCCGAGACTCTCCGACCACACACTCGGAGGCAATCGTGCTTTTCTCAGATACCGGGACGCCTGCAGCGCGGCGTTTCTTAGGCTTCGGATCCCGACCAAACAGCAGCCCAAAACCTAGAAAGCCTACGTGCGGGTGTCTTGATCTAGAACTCCCACTTTGCTGCGGATTCAATTCCGGCCTCCAACAGCTCCACGCCAAATGTCCTTCGGTTCAGGGCAGCAGGAGGATCTAGGATCTTGATGTGATGATATTGAGATATGCGTCAAGGTGGATGAGACGCATTTCTGCAGCGAGTAAATCCACAAACTCATGCACCAAACTATGAAGTCCAGCCCCAACTGGGTTCTTATACTCAATTGTCTCCGAAGGCCTGAAGCTCATCACCGATCGTGTCCAAAGACTCTGCCGCATCAGCAGTGCCTGGCCGTCGGCTTTGTTGAATGAGAGTTCCTAAAATCTATAGTTTAAGGTATATTCCCTTATTAAGGAATATCACATTAGACTTTTGACTGGTTTGACAAGACGAAGTTCGGGCAGCAAGGCTAGCGAATATCGGTACGTCTGACAATTCGAACTATCCTACACGAAAGATCTGCCACTGGCTGCCAGAGCTACCGTTCCTCTGGTTCGCTGCAAGCTTCTGCCAGAAAGCCTTCACATAAATGATACTCGGAGAACAGACTTTGGGCCAGTCTGTCCCGGATGGAAAGTGCACAGGTTTAAGATTCGATCCGCAAGGGACCCTAATTTAGAGAACTACCCATGTCCCAGCTTGCCGAGCCGGGGTACAGAATGCCATGTCCCTCTCCATCAACAGTTGACAGGGTGCCCTGAACCTGGAGGTCTGAAATGCTGGGGATTTCGGGTTTTGGGTGTAGGCTTTGGGCGCTGCGGCTCGGACCCTCCAAACGAGTCATATGTCCGCACGGTCTCCAGCGGAGAAGAGAAACCTCGGGGTTTTGAAAGGTGCTCATACCTAGATCCCAAAGAACCTACCTTTTTTATCCTTTTTTAAGGACTTGTATAAGGAAAGCATAATAAGGAACCCTAACAAGGGAGGCTCTTAGACTTGAAGCCCCGGATTCCCAGCGCCTAGGTCAGGAAGCTCTCCATAGCCACCCTCACCTTTGGAACGAGACTAACACCCAATCGTGACCACGCAATGTAGGGTAAAAGGTTGGACAGGGTTTGCAGGGCAAAGGACACGTGAGGCATTTAACAAGGCTCAGAGTGTAGACGGGTTCTGAAGAGCTTAAGAGTTTAACAGGCCTGTGGAGTTGAAACGGTCTGACAGGCCTTTGAAGATGCATTTATGTTTACACAAAGCAATCTAACACCCACAGCAAGAAGCGTGAGGCGCGTGAGAGGACGTCAATTCAGTAGCTGCAGTGTTCAAGTCGTACCCGGGCATGTGTTTCAGCTTCGACAGGCTTTAGGCCGGGCTGCCAAGGAGACTCGAAAATTGTCCCGTAACCCCCAAGCATCCTCGTCCCAGGCCTGAGAGGACAAACGGCACCGGCACGTGATCCTGCGCCATAACATAGCCGGCGGCAGCGCGCATCCGCAGGACGTCCTGCATCTCGGCATCCGCCTGCCAAAACAGAGTTTGGATGCTCTTGCTTGACTCGTATGAGACCACGGTCAGCGCCGCTGGCAGCGAGAGCTTGAGGGATCGATAGACCGTTGAAGTCTAGGCGTCTCTTCCGTTGGCAGCGGGTATGGCACAAATCTGTCCGATACTGCATATTGCTACAAACTGTGACCATCAATGTGTGCAGTAGCATGCGTGTAATTACATTACATCACATCACATTACATGGATGCATTCATACATACACGGATGCATACACACATGCATACAGTCTTCACTCATTTACTTAGTTAATTACTTGGGCTGCATATCTTCGTGTGTGCCCGTGCTCGCGAGTGCGGGTGTGTGTGTGTGCATTAGAGAGTGTTGTTGCTGCTGCTGCTGCTGCTGCTGCTGTTGCCGTCACCGTTGTTGCCTTCGTGCTTGTGGTTGTGGTTACCGTTGCCGTTGCTGTAGCCGTCGTTGTTGTTGTTGTTGGTTGCTGTGTCGTTGCTGTGTTTCGTTGTGTTGTGTCGTTTGCTTTGCCTTGTTGCAGCTTGCACTTGGACAACCAGAACTTACGCCTGCTGACCACTCATCAAAGCCCATGACAATCAGATGTTCCAAGTCGTCGAGACTGTAGGTGACTTCCGGAGCTTCGGCTCGGGTGGACTTTGAGCTATGGGTTCGAAGATTTGCCCCAGCTGGAGAGGAAGTCCAGGCAATTTTGCGAAGGCTCCACGGAGGTAGGCAGCGTCCTGCCCTCAATCGACTTAACTTGAAGCACGAAACTACAAATAAACTTTCACATGACTTGTCTCCGCGGAGCTTCACGAACTGCGTCATCCGAGATCCAACACCGAAGACCCAAACCTCATTTGCCTAGTTAGTAAGCATGTGCCGCAAACTAGCAAAAAAACATTGGAGGCTGCACGAAACTACCAGCTCTCTCCTGCGCAGGCCCCACGTAGGCCATGGTGGCACCCAGTCTGGCAGAAGTTAAACTCAGGATGCATACAGAGATGTGCTGCAGGCACCCAGGCGGCCTTTACAAGGCGTACCCATAATTACGACTACCGCTCCAGAATGGAGTCTAGTCCTAGCTTTGAATTGGTGCCAGACGGGTGTTCAGAGCTTACTGTGCGAGACAATTGCTGTGTCCCAGTTGCATCTTCGAGCCGACATGTGCTGCATACATACATGGCATGGTGCAAATTTCACGTGAAAGCCAGAAGAATCGGAAGAGACCCGAAAGGGCAAACAACGGAACTCACGTGGACGCAGGCTTCCACAAAACACATGCTGCATATATGCAACCGCAGAAACATCTCCACCACACCTACCAAGCTATTATTTTGTCGAAAGCTGCGTGCAGGGGTATCCTACTCTCGCTTTGCCCTCGTGCCGGATGCAGTAACCCGCTTTTGCTCGACAAACTTAGCCATCCCCATCCTTTAGAGTCATTATATGGGTTGTTCTGGGTCCCTTCTAGGATCCTTTTTTCAGGGCGCCGTACTGTATTGAAACCTAAAAGGGGCCCGAATTTAGAGAATTACCCATAATTTATCCAATGTTACTGCATCGGGCGATGAGGATCACGTTAGGATGCGGCGGATTCACCGCGCCCCAATTCGCAGGTCCCTGCGTTGAGAGTAGGGTTGATTCGCCTTGGGACCCTCCCCTCCATGATTGCTAAGCTCACATGTGAGCAATGTGTATGTATGCTTTCTAGGAGCAACAGACCCGTACACAAATGCACCGCAAATCGCTGGATGATATGGGACCTAGTTCACTGAGTCAATGTCGGACGACAGCCTGACAGGCAGAAGACAAGCTACTAACTACTATGCAACGACGGATTCGGCAAAATGAGGGTCTTGCTAGTCGCACTTTCCGCAAGGAGCTTCAATGGCTTTGAGGTCGCAGGCAAAGACGCAGCTTGAAGAGACGGTAGTAGCAGTGCCCCGGAAAAAACGCAAGGACCAGAGATAATCCTAAACCCCTAATCCCTAACCCCTAAACTCACTCTCTCTCTCTCTCTCTCTCTCTCTCTCTCTCTCTTTCGTCAGGGTTACGGACAAGGGGGGAATCCCCCTTGCCCGCGCGCCGTCGGCGCCCCCGACCGGTGCGGAGGCCAAACGTGAGATGGCTCACTCCAACAAGGCAATGTTTGCCCATGTTGGGGAAATTGCTCCCCAAGGGAGGCTGGGCTCTGCTAATGGGAAGATATCTTCCAGCGGCAGACAAGCCCTTCTGTTGCTGACATGCCACTCTGTTTTGCAAACAAAGAAGCCCAAACTGACTGATCAGGAACCTAGCATATGACAGAGCAACCGCGATGGCATGTTAGCGGGGGATGCGCGATTCGGCTGAAAAAACCCTCACGGGGGACCTAGAGCAACTAGAAAGTGGGTCGAGAAAGCGTGGGTCAAGAAGACGTTTTAAATAGCCGGGCCGCTTCCCCGAAATGTCACATGATGTCAAAAGCAGTAATGCCGGTTGTCCTTCCCAGTGGTCAACCGACGGGAAATGAAACGCATGTGAAAAACATGACTGCAGACTCGGCAGTACCACTGTATAGGTCAGGCCTGTGACGATGTGTTATGCTAAGCAATCAACTGCCAACAAGTAGTAAGTAGACACAGGTCAAGGGAACAACTGCAAGAGCTAGAGGCATCGTCACCTGTAGGAGGAGTGCCGAGAGGTGAGCCCCCTGTTGTGTCAGAGTCCGAAATCACCAAATAAACCCCCCAAACCCACAATCTCAACCCTCTCTCTCTCTCTCTCTCTCTCTCTCTCTCTCTCACACAGGCATCCCTAAACCCTAAACTCCTAATCCCTAACCCCCTATAAACCCTAAACTTCTATACCTTCAGCCGGTGCCTCGTGAGCATAGGTCCACTACTCCCAGGGCCTGGCAGATGCTGTCTCCACACCTCGCAGAGAGACGGTTTCAGGGCCTATAGGGTTCATAATATAGGGTCTATCTTATAGGGTGTATATGTTATGGGGCTTACAGGGTTAAAGGGCTTAGTGGCTTTATAAGGTTTAAGGGCTTATAGGGTTTGTATGATGGGGTTTATAGGGTTAAA